GACAATTGATCAAACACTGTAATTGATTCAGTATTATTGTTTTCAATGGTTGTGGCACCTTACCAAGATCATTTATAGCTATTTATAAGTGTTTGTCTATTTGTGTGAACTGTCAAAATTTACTGCTATTGGATTAGCAGTATGTATCTCTAAACACTGCATTTATATCAGGTTTAAGGATTTCCTTACTCAGAAACACAGATTTTTGGCTTGAAAGAAGAAATGTTGTGCTCTGTCACAACCCCACATAATAAAAGTAAATCATGACTGTTTTTTATGACATACGCTTCAAGATACTCATTTCATTGGTATCCACTGGGCTTCAAATTAAAATACAATGGGCTCAAATCAAAGGAAAACACTTTGATATGTGTTCTCTTTCACAGTCACACCTGGAGCATTAGATATTAACGAAGACTTCCATGTCATCAAGTTTTTTCTCCCAGCTTGAGAAAGCAAGAAAGAAATTGGCTGTGTTTCTGAATAAAAAACTTCAATTACAGTATAAAGTAGATTCCTCTCTGACATAAATGGAACTTTTGCCTCTGACCTCAAAGAAATGATGCCAGCTTACATAATTTGAGCCCAGCATGTTTCTTTTAGCTGCCTTACAGATAGCACCTCAGTTTGGATGAGAAATCAATTCACCTATGAAAACTGATCTTCTTTTACTACAGCATAAACAGTAAACAGGCTGAGCACACATGAATGTCAATAGACTTCCCATCACAAAATTTTAACAATGTTATATTTTCAGATAAAAACCTCAAATCAAAATTTCAGAGAATATCAATTTGGGAAAATCTGCTATCTGCTGTTTCTTTCCTTCCTGAGCTATATCTCCTCCCTTCACTAATTATACATTCCACATGTCTTTCCTCCAGTGACTCGATGCATACTCTCAAATTACTGATTCTGCTTTCTCCATCCAACAGAATAATATATTTTTTTTATCACATTGCCATGGCTTAGAAGAATCTTGTAATTTCTAAGACAATGAATTGTTGAGCATTCTATTAAAAAAATCTATCACAAGATTATAATAAATCATACTGAAGATATGACCAAAATTATGTCCTGTGTAACAACACAGGAGAATGAATGCATTTGTGCCTCATTCATATACAAGAAGTATGGAGAAAAATTAAAATTATATGGTGCCTAAGGAATCTATTAAGTTTGACAATCCTTCACATTTAGGAATAGGGCTAAACAACACCTATATTGTGTAACCCCATGAATGATTACTTAGAAGTGTAAATCCACTAAATTCAATACACTTAACAGAATAACAGAGTTGGAAGGGACCTTGGAGGTCTTCCAGTCCAATTCCCTCTCAAGCAGGAGACCTTATACTATTTTAGACAATGACTGCCCAGTCTCTTTTTAAAAACCTCCATTGATGGAAAATCCACAACTTCTGAAGTCAAGCCATTATTGTTCGCACTGTTAGTAAATTTCTCCCTAGTTCTAGGTTACTTCTCTCCTTGATTAGTTTCCATCCATTGCTTCTTGTCCTGCCTTCTGGTACTTTGGAAAATTGGTTGACCCTCTCTTCTTTGTGGCCACCCCTCAAATATTGGAACACTGCTATCATGTTGCCCCTAGTCCTTCTTTTCACTAGAACTAGTGCAACCCTCCTTAATAATCTTTGTTGCTCTTTTCTGCACACTTTTCAGAGTCTCAACATCTTTTTTATATTGTGGTAACCAAAACTGGATGCAGTATTCCAAGTGTGGTCTTTATAAAGTGGTACTAACACTTCATGTGATCTTGAATATTATTCCTCTATTAATGCAGCCTAAGATTGCAGTGGCTTTTTGGTGGCTGCAGCACATTGCTGGCTCATATTTAAGCGATGGTCCACTAGGACTCCAAAATCCCTCTCACAGTTACTGCTATTGAGCCAAGTTTCATCTAATCTGTACCTGTACATTTGGTTTTTGTTGCCTAAGTGTAAAACCTTTCTTTTCTCACTCTGAATTTCATTTTATTTGATAGGACCCAGTGTTCAAATCTGTCAAGATCTTTTGGGATCTTGAGCTTGTCTTCTGGGGTGTTGGCTATTCCTACCAGCTTAGTGTCACTTGCAAATCTGATGACTTCCCTTTCTATTCCCTCGTCTAGATTGTTTATGAAGATATTAAAGAGTACTGGACCTAAAACGGAACCTTGGGGTACCTGACTGCTTACTTCCCTCCATACGGATGTAGTTCCATTGAGGACTACACATAGAGTACCATTTTTCAGACAGTTATAAACTTATCTGGTGGCAGTGCTGTCTTTACCACATTTTTCTAGCTTGCCAAGACATAGGTTGTGATCTAATTTATCAAATTACTGAAATCCAAGTATACTATATCCACAGCATTTTGTTGGTCCACTAATTTAGTCACTATGTCAAGGAATGAAATAAAATTTGTTTGGCATGATCTGTTGGTTGGCTTCTGTTATAACTTTGCTTGATTCTAGGTGTTTGCAGATCTGTTACTCGATTATCTTTTCCAGGATTTTTTCAGGTATTGAAGTCAAGCTGATTGGTCTGTAGTTTACTAGATCTGTTTATTTCCCCTTTTTTAAAGATGGGAACCACATCAGGTCTTTTCCAATCTTCTGGTAGTTCCCCAGTGCTCCAGGATCTTTGAAAGATATGGTTCAATGGTTCTGAGATCACATTTGTCAGCTCCTTCAGAACTCTGTGTGGTAATCCATAAAATCATAGTGATTTGAACTCATCTTGAGTGGACAGATGTTCTTTTACCATTTTCTTGCCTATTTTAATTTGAATTCCTGGTCTGTTCTGTTTTTGGTTGGGCTATTTTTTCTTTTTGTGTGAATGCAGATGCAAAAAAAAGAATTAAGCAGTTCTGCATTATCCGCTTTATTTTTGACATTTGTTGCAAGTCTTAGTTCATTCTGAAACTTAGCTTTCTTGACTTCATCTTTGTAGGTTTGTGCTATGTGCTGGAATTCTGCCTTAGTTATATGTCCCTCTTTTCATTTTTTATACTAATCCTTTTTGTCTTTCAGTTTATCAGAGAGTTCTTTATGCATCTATGCTGGTTTCCTTTTGGATTTCTTATTTTTCTTTTTCAGTGGTATAGTGCTGAAATGGGCTTTTATAATCATATTTTTCAGAGTTTCCCAAGCTTCTTGAATTGTTTTCCTCTTTTAAGATTTAAAATTTAAGCTTATTCACAAACTCTCTCTAAGTTTGTTGAAAACAGCTCTTTTAAAATCTAACACACTAGTTTAATTATGTTCTATTGCTTGTGTCTATATTCAGTTGAATTCTAATATGACATGATCACTCTCCCCCAAATTTCCTGCAACTTTAATCCCCTCTGTTATTTTTTCTTTGTTAGTAAGAATTAGGTCTGGTATAGTTGGCCCTCAAGTTCCCTGCTCTACCTTTTGGCTGACAAAGTTGTCAGCTAGGTTGGTCAGGAACCTGTTCAATCTCCCACTTGACGAGAATTTGTCTCCCAGTTGATGTCAGAGTAGTTAAAGTTAAAGCTCCAAGGAGGAATGCTGGAGGCAAATGGGAGGAGGTGGGAGGCTCAAGAAGAAGGAGGTGTGGCCAAGGGTAGGAGGCAAAAGATCCTAGACCTGCTGCCGATCAGCTGTAGCTGCACATGCTGATCCTGGGCTCTCAGCAGAACCCAGGCAAACCTCACTCAGCTCCAGTTGAATCTCTGTCCTAAGAGTGCATGCAGCTGCCTGCACTCCCAAGGCCACTACCGATCAGCTGGAGCAGCACACACCAATCCTGGGTTCTCAGCAGAGTTCTGGTGATACCTCATGCAGCTCCATCTGACTCTCCTACAGGCCTGTGCGGCATTGCCGCCGCTTCACTTCATCCACTTTTACTTTTTTTACACTTTTTTTTACAGTGCTTTTCAACCCATTGTACACGTATCACCTGCCCGATGCCAAAGTACCACCAGTGGTATGCGTACCACTGGTTTAAAAGCCCTGGTCATGGCACCCTGGTCATGGCACCCTGGTCATGGCACCAGGTTAGAAAGCAGGAGACCATAATTTCTAGTCATGCAAGCAAGGAAGCAAGCATCTACTGTAAAATGCACCCTAAATTAACAATACCATTCAAAGAAGCGTAAGCCCAAATTCATCCTCTAGCCAATATAACTTTTTACTTGAAATAGTCCACAATTTAGTGAAATTGTTAACCTGCATCTGGTCATAAACATTCACAGTAAAGCTACTACTAAACTCAATTGAACAACAGATTTGAAAGAAATTTAAGATTATGTACCACTTCATCCTCACTGCCACAGAATTTACATTCCTAAATGTTATAAGAAAAGACAATTGCCACTATACTATAAACTTAACACTTTACTAATGATACAAAATCATATTTAAGTTAACATGCTACATTTTCTATAAACCCCAGGGTGATCTAACTCTAACTCCATCTTTATCCCATATATAAATGCTATTCTAACTTCATCCTGATCATAGTAAGAAATGTTTACAAGAGTTGTGAGGCAAAGTGGTTAGAATGCAGCATTGTAGTTAACTCTGTCTATTGCTAGGAGTTCAATCCTGACCAGCTAAAGGTGGACTCAGCCTTCTATCTTTCTGAGGTTGGTAAAATGAGGACCCAGATTGTAAATTGCTTAGAGAAGGCTGTAAAGCACTTGTATATGAATACAAGTCTTAGTGTTATTGGTATTATTGGAAATGTTACAAAGCATGTAACCCACACAGTAAATTTATCTGGGTAATTGTGTAAGTGTGTATCTGGGTAATTGTGTAAGTGTGTAATTGGGATTTGATTTCACATGGTTGGGTCTAATGTATTTTGTCCACTTATTGTCCACACTGGCTTGTCACTATTGCTCTTTGTATACCAAATAGCATTTTTTAAATAAACTGTTAAAAATAAAGTATTTCACTATTGAATGAATGTTGGAATTTCTTCATAGTCATCTGGATCACCACATGCCTTTAAAGTATCACAAAGCAAGACCAACCTTCCTATAGTTCCAATGCTGGTTGCCTTTCATACCATGACAGTCATAAAGTGTGACAGGACTACTGTGTGAAATTGCATCGAAGCAGAATTTTCGGCTGTGAAGAGGTTCCCCTGGACGGATGTCTTCTCTCCAACCAAAGGTGAACAGCTAAAAAAACAGTGAAGGAAAACAATGATAGAATGTGGCCTTTGAAAGAAACACATGGCAGTAGGATGTCCTTCCAGTCAGATCTGAATCTATTTTGGTGGACCTGAACTAATCATTAAGTTGAAGTAGTTTAGCATTAGTGTAATAATATGTCTATAAACTGCTAAAAATTAAGGTTAGATTTATTTAAAGGATCAGATTAGTTTAAAAGAAAAAAAATACTTTAAATATAAAAAAATTCACAATGCACCCAAACAAAATACATACTCCATGAGCTAAGAAATTAAAACTTGACCACATTTCTATGGAACTAATACTAATATTTACAGGAAAATGGATGGTATGAGGAAGCCACAGAATAGCAAAGCTATGAGAAGACAATCATTGACAAGAATAATTGAAAGTTCATTAAGAATAAGGTAGAAAATGTATGTCTAAGCTATACTGAGTAGCTTTCTATGAAAAAAAAATTAGCAGCCAAGGAGACAGATTTTGGTTTAAATTGTCTTACAGTATTTCCACTTGAAGTGTTACACTGAAGCATCACATTAGATTACCATTTGAAGTTAAGACGTATGCAAAATTCAGCAAGCACTAGGAATCAGTTTAAGAATCTGAACAAGTCAATATTTTCTAAAAGTTTTCACAGATAAGCACTTCAAACATTAATTTTCTCTACTTTTTGAGTTGCAAACAACACTTGATATCACTTTGCAAAATAGTTCAAATGCAATACAAATTTCCAAACTTCTTACTATTTAATTCAATCAATCTAAGGCAAAAGTCCTTGAATACAATTTTATTGGGGTACTACTGACAAAGTTGACTTTACTTCAGGATTTTCTGGGACAGATTGTGTTTACTCTGTAAAGCTGATTCGACACCATGGTGAACATAAGGCTTTTGAAGTTTCTGACTGAATTTGTTAATAGTTTCAAAAATAACTTCTTGTAACTGGTCCCATAGTGTCCTAACAAGATTTCAAACCACCAGGCAGATTTACCCAAATATATGTGAACAAATTAATGGGCTATGTGTGTCTAATGGTAAAAATGAACTTGCTTTTCTTTTCATAAATGAAGGAGGAAGGCCTGTCAATTAATTAGTTGCACTACCCAGACATGAGCAACCTGGGGGTGGGGTGTCTCCTAGACTCACAACTCCTGCTTGAAGAACAGGGGACAGTAATGGTTAGGAGAGACTTTGCACAACTTTGTGTTGTGAGTCAACTGCATCCTTTCCTGGATCGCGAGGCTCTGCACTCAGTTACTCATAACCTGGTGATCTCACATTTGGACTACTGCAATGCACTCTACATGTGTTTACACTTGAAGAATATTCAAAAGCTACAACTGGCACAGAATCAGCAATCTGGACAATTCTAGATAACTTTCAGGTGGGCCATGTAACAGCACAGTTGCGTAAATTGTACTCATTGCTGGTTTGCTTCTGGGTTTAATTCAAGGTATTGGTTATTGCTTTTAAAGACCTTTATGGCATGGTCCAGGTCACCTGAGAATTGGCTTGTTCCACTTGCGCTGGCAGAAGGGGCATGCTATTGGCCAAGGAATTTTGACTGGTGGGTTCAGGAGAAGAACCTTTTCTGCCATGTCTCTCACTTTTTGGATATCATGTCCCCTGAGGTGAGATCTGCCTCCACCCCTTTGGCCTTCTGAAAGGTCTGAAAATGCTTAACATTTTTACTGTTTCTAAATTGTTTTATACTGTGCTTTTATCTGAGTCACAATTATATTAAATTTTACAAAACATATCCATAAAAATTACATAAATAACAATCAAGAAAAAAGATATAAAGTAAACAGAGAATAGGAATAGAGGTGCAATGAGGCATAAAGAAAAAGAAAGGAAAACAAAATATATACGAAGAATAACTTCCAAGGATATAAAGAATGCTTACTGTTGTGTTTTCGGTTCGCAAGCAATTGACGAAGACGCATGGTGGAAAACAATAGCTCTTTATTCTCCTTCTCCAACTCCAAGCAAGAAGCAAAAGGCTTGCAGGCTTTTTATAGGGTGAGGAACCCAGATAGTGCTAACTAATAGGAACGCAGCATTTTCGCGCCTTGCGCATGCGCACAAGGTTGGCGCTGCTCTGTCTGGTCCCGGGCAGCTTTTACAATCCCCGGGACCATTTGCAACCTTTCTGGGCCTGCTGAGTTTCCTCAACAGGCCCAGGACACAACACTTACACTCAACTCATAGTTTACAACTGTAATATAATATCCATTCCCCTTCCCCTCTCAAAAGAAAGGTGAACATTTTTTTTAAAAAAAGACATGATTTCCCTCCAATGTTTTATCCATAAACCCTAACAAAAAAGTTTCTGGTTTAAATTCTAGATTAATTTTCAGGATTTTTTTGAATTACATTACTAATTTCGATTCAATATTGCTTAGGTCTTTTGCAAGGTAATATAAGGTTCCTATTTGAGTTTTATATCAAACAGCTATTTGGAACCTCCATTAAAAAGGAGCTATGACAGGCAATAAATGGTCAGACAGGAAAACACCATATGCAGATGAAATACCCATTAGACTACCCATTAGGCTTCTTTAAAGTACGGTAGAAATGGCTGTTAAAATGCTATTAGCTGTACAACAGCAAATATGGAACAAAACATGTGGGCTAGAAAGTGTAAAAATTTAGTTATGGGATACCCCCATAATGAAAACTCAAGAGAATATGTAAATTACTGCAGTAATTTCTTACATACAAGCAATTTTTCCCCCCGAATATTGGTAAGAAAAAACAGTAAAGAAGAAGAAAGAAATGTTAAATAAATAGGCATGTTTCAGAAAAGACAGAAATGTACAAGTAATATCAAATGGGTAATGGATAAATTCAGATAACTATTAGATTCAGAAAAAGATTAAAAACCCCTAACTATGATGATTTATCAGTGTTCCGGAATATCATTCTATTCACACTGATCATTGTATTCTTGCACTAGCTGAGTAAATTGCAGCTGGAGCAAAACTTTGCCACAGTTTTGACACCTTGAGAATAGATAAAGGGTTGTATTGGGAAATTTCTGTTCTACTTTGCTTTTTATACTGCAGGGCATATAGTTCCATTCTGTACCTCCACCACCATCACATGACTTAATTGGAATGATCAGCAAAGGTAATGAGGATGGATACTACCTTTAATTAAACGATATCCAGGCCTACTTGTCATCTTCTGCTGCTAATTAATTCTCACTTGGCAGGATTGGATGACAAGTTTGATTCCAGAATAACCTAGCTTTTATGTGACATCAATACATGTTCAAACAGAATGGGGTTTGGATTGCATTGCCATGGCTGCCATTTTAATTTGTTTGTTTGTTTAATTTGTTTGACTTTTCCTGAAAACACTTCTTTAATATAGTCTTAAAAAGCATTATTTAATTGTTGCAAACAAACCTTGGACCTGAATGTTTTATATGTGCCTCATCCCAGGGCACTGATTACCCCAACTGATTACCCCAATTACTGGATATTACATTAAGACTTATGTTCATAAAATAATGGTAAAATTTAATGACATTTGTTAAAAAGGCTGCTGACATTTTTCCCCCCTGTCTCCATCTCCTTCTCTCCTGGCTGAAATTGAGGAACTCTAAAGGAAACAACACTATTTATTAAATGTATTTCAAGTGCAGCTTCACATGCAGTGCATTGCAGTAGTCTATTCAAGAAGTGACCAAGGCTTGAGTGTCCATGAGGACATTTAGTAATGCCCCAAGTAGTGTATTTTTTGTTCTTCTTCAACTTGATATCTTACAAATAGTTAGAATTTTGGTTCTCATAATGTTCAGACACAAGGCTATATGAGTGTTTCCAACACATATGGAGGACTATAGGGGAAAAAAAAATCTGATTTTAACTAATGTTTAGAAATGTGTTTTTTTGAAAAGCCATCTAAACTTTCTTTGGATTCAACTGTCTCTAATGGTGCATGGAATAGGTGTCTGCAAAAGAATGGGTTTTATGAACTAATTAGTCCCTTCAAGTAGTATGTTAATTTCTTTCCCCTTCTCCACTGTTGTGTCCTGAGCCTGCAAAAGCAGGCTCGGGACGTTGTGAGAGTCCCGGGCATTTGCAAAAGCTGCCCGGGACCAGACTGAGTGGCGCCGGCCTTGCGTGCATGCGCAAGGCAGGAAAAGACCACCTCATGATTGGTTGAACTTGCCCAGGGATCAGAAGGTATAAATAGAGGCCTGCGTGCCTCTGCTCGGGTTGTTTGTAGAATGGAAGCAGAGAATAAAGACTTGTTAGAAATGCTTCGTCTCAAGCGGCATTATTCTCCGGACTTAACACTGGCGACGAAGGTGGGATACAGTCTATACAGCTAGGAAAGCTTGAAGACTCACCCAAAGAAGTCCGGAAGAGAAAACGGCGTGGAAGTCAGCGTTATCCTGCCAGTACGAAATCGCTGGAGGGTGCATGCGGCTGAAGAAGAAGACCCTGATCCTCGATCATGGTGAAAGTTGGGCGTTTAGCGGAATTCGACATCTCTCACCCCGAGAGGTGGGAATCTTATGTTGCAAGAGTCGAGACGTATTTCCGCATAAACCAGATTTGGGAGGAAGGCTTAAAGGCTGCCACATTGTTGTGCATTTGTGGGCAAGACGCCTTTGAGATCGCCGAGAGCTTAATCGCCCCGGACCCGCTGGAAACGGTATCATACGCCGATCTGAAGAAAGTTTTAAAGGAACATTTCCAGCCCAAGCAATCTGTCATGGCTTGGAGGCACACATTTCAACAAAGAGATCAGCGAGTTGGAGAATCAGCAAAAGAATACGTTGCAGCCTTGAGAAGAGCAGCTAAACCGTGTGATTTCAAGGACTTAGAGGAAAGACTGCGTGATTGTTTTGTGTGTGGACTGCGGAACACAGACTTACAGCAGAGACTGTTCACCAGGGAAGATGTCTCCTTCCAAGATGCTCTGCGAGAGGTCTCAGCAGAAGAAGCTGCAGGTGGGGCGGTCAAGAACAT